TTCCCACTTCGATGAAGTGAGGAAAATTCATACAACGTTCCTCTAGCAAGGACACAATTTCAGCCCCATGGCAGGGTTCGAACCCATGACCCTTCAGTCACAAAGCACAAACGGCACCTCTGTTCTAGTTAACTTTTCCAAAGCAGTCTTGAATTCTGTACTCCAAATTAGACTTCGAGGATATGTAGAGATCTTGATCTTGAGTCTTGCTCTATAAAAAACTACGCACCAAATAAGCGCCAAAATTTTGAAAACGTCAATACAACGAAGTAAACATTTTGCGAGTCTAAATGAACTCAACGTGTTGGGGACATGGCTTCACGAAATGTATACAGAAAAAGTCAATACAATAAAGTTTGGCCTGAAGTAGATCTATCCATCGACACCGCGAAGCACGCATCCAAACAGAGTTGGATATTGAGATTCTAGATCTGGAAACAGTAGAGGCAGCTGTTTAACACGCACGACGAAGCACAAACCGAAACGGAAGTAGTTCCCAGTACAATGTGAAATGGCTAATGGCAGAGTGAAAACCATCAAACCTGAAAAATCAAAAGGTAGTTTTCGAACTTTGAAAATATGCCCATGTAACCCTTTTGTGGCAATTCTTAACTGAATCATATGTGTGTGTGTGTGCCTAGAGAAAGGTACCAGAAGTCGTCACAGACCATTTGGAGTTACAGGCTGACAATGACCAAAAAATCACTTTTTGACCAAAATGTTTTTACATAAAAAAGTGATACTTCCACCATTTTTTAACAATGTGTTAAAAGTGTTATCATTTATTTGACTTCTAAGTATTTTATTTTGAATAATTTTGAGACTAGGGTATATTTTAAAGCGATAATGAAAACTGCTTTTAGAAGGTGTTAAAATCTATTCTTGAAGCATGTTTTCTCTTCCCCGCTATGTTTTACTATTGAATTCTAACCATGGTATTGATGTCAACTGAATACCAAATTGGAAATGAATTTTCCATGAATAAATACATTAGAAACAATTGAATCATCGGGTTTTTCAAGTTTGTATGTGTCCTAAACTTAAACGCTAATTTTCTCAAAATTAGATCTTTATGCCCTACCTCACAAAATGTGCAATATCTCAAACACAACCTGAGATATCTCAAAAACTCAAAAAGCCGCTGTGTTCATCATTGGATTTCCTGTAAGGTGCAACCCTTAATTCAAAATGGTAAAAATCCGACTTTTGGTACCCTTCTTTAGGCACACACACATATTTTTGTAGATTTTATGGGCACATGTGTAAAAAATGAATACTGACCTCACCGATGGGCTTTGCTCCATTGTAATAAGATTATTGTCATGAATAGTATGATTATAATAATTATGATTGTGATTATGATTAAGATTATTATTATTATTATTATTATTATTATTATTAAAAATTATTATTATTATTATTACTAGACCTATTATTATTATTATTATTGTCGTAGTTATCAGTATTATTACTATTATTATTATTAATTAATTATTATTATTATCATTATTATTATTATCGTCGTTATTGTCTTTATTATTATTATTATTATACATTTTTATCATTATCGTGATTATGATTATGATTATTTCAGCTGACAATCTACCTACACAAGAAGGCCATGCTGCTCAACACGGAGATGAGCGAGCCGGGGAACCTGATGACGCGATGTCCCGCGGGGAAGACGTTTGAGAAGATCCACTACACGTTCCGGACCATGGAGGACGTGGACAAGTACTGGCAGGACCTCCGCCTCTACGGGAACAACACGCCGCTAGGACATTACAGCGCACGTATGTCTTCTTGTTATGTGAAAAAAACCCCCAACAAAACCTTTTTAACGCTATCCGTACGCCCTGGGGTCATTTTTGTACCCCCAGGGGTTGTATTCTCCACATTTTAGAGTATTTCTAGGTTTTTTTGGGGTTTTTTGGAGAAATACTGAAAGGTTTCAAAGAGATCTTTGTACTAGTAGTATTCTAAAATGTGAAGAATACAACCCCGGGGGTACAAAATGGGAACAACACGCCGCTAGGACATTACAGTGCTCGTATGTCTTCTTGTTATGAAAAACCCCCACAACAAAGCATTTTTAACACTATCCCTACGCCCTGGGGGTCTTTTTGTACCCCCTGGGTTGTATTCTTCACATTTTAGAGTATGAGATCTTCGTACTAGTAGTATTCTAAAATGTGAAGAATACAACCCCGGGGGTAAAAAATGGGAACAACACGCCGCTACGACATTGCAGTGCTCGTATGTATTCTTGTTATGAAAACCCCCACAACAAAGCATTTTTAACACTATCCGTACGCCCTGGGGTCATTTTAGAAAATTTCTAGTACGAAGATCTCTTTGAAACTTTTAATTTTTCTCTAAAAAAATGATTTTGACGGACTGCTATGCAAAGCGTACGGATCGGATTAACGTGTAAATTTCCTCTTTGGAAAGTGGTGGCACAGAGTACTCCTCATCGTATGGATATGATAATAAAACACGACGTACGGATAGGGTTAAGTACTGCCTGTGTCTTTTGTCGCCAGGCCCGTAGTATGCGTTTATTACCGCTGACGACTTTCATCGCCAACTCGACCAGGCACACTAAACGAATCCAAAGCCACTGCAGTGAAGTAAATACCGAAGGAATTGACTCTATGTGATAACCAAATGGTTGATGAATTGCTGTGAATTTTTTTAGCCTGTTTCTTGGGACCTACATTTAAAAAAAGATGAAAAAAAAAAAAAATGTATAAAAGAGAAAAGTACCACAAAAAAATAAAAGCCAGCTGTATCACTTAGTTTAAGATGGAGAATACATGGAAAGACAACAAATTCTGCAACGGTGGGTGGTTGACAGGCCCCCTGGTGGGATTTTCTCCATTCTTTCCTATCAAACGTTCATCGTCCTTTTCTCCTCTTTTCTTAATTTTTAAAAATGTTACTCTTTAGTAAAACGCTCTAATCTTAGGCACTTACGACGTATATGTGTTGCAAGAGCCTTAAATCTCTTCGAATGGATGGCAAGTGGGTGCTCTGATGTGGTTTGCTTCTTCTTTCCTATCAAACATCTATCGTCCTTATCTCCCCTTCTTATTTTCTAAATGTTTGTTACTCTCTTGTAACACCTCTAATCTTCTGGCGCTCATATGACCTTATGCTGTTGCGAGCACCGTAAAACCTCTACTAAAACTGGACTAAATTCTTCGACGACTCAATGTCCGATGTTTCACCCGCAGGAGATGAGCTGGGGGATCATGGAGAGATCACCCTCCTGGACGTCTGCAAACCCAAAATGCTGGACGAGATCCGAGAGGAGAACTGGTTGCCGGGCGATCGTCGCGGTGCGGGCGGACTCGACTCTTCGCTCTTCTTGTACGTGGTTTTGTATAATTGTTGTTATGAGTGTTGTGAAGGTGTGGATGGTCGATATCAACCTGGATAGACAGCAGATGACCTAAATGTGAAGCGTGCTGACGAAATGAGTTCTTTCTTGGATCCAAGCCTTGGAAATATTTACATCATGCTATTAGGTGAAGTTTTTACGATGTATAAGTATTGACTAATAAAAGGCACGTTATACAAAAAGAATGTAGCATCAATAGAAAATCTACTAATCTGACCCTATAGTGTGAACTTTTGGCCAATATTTCCGTTTGTGGATTGGAGAAGTATCTCATTTTGTCTGCAAGCTTCACAAATATAACTAACACAAGATACAGAACCAACACGCCATGTTGATTTCGTAGCCCAGTACAACCTATACTGAGTTCCTTTATTGGAGAGACTTCCTCCAGCATGAACAGTAGAGTAGTTTCCCCTGTCGGGCACCCAACATAGTTGCACCAGTACATTATGGTCCAAGATATAATAGCTCCTTGCTTGTTGTTGATGTTGTTGTTGTTGTGGTTGTATTTTTGAATGCATAGCTTCTTGTTTCGTTGTTGTTGCTAATGTTGTCATTGTTGTTATGAGCATATAGCTCTTTGCTTGTTGTTGTTGTTGTTGTTGTTGTTGTCTCTTTGTTGTGGTTGTGGTTGTTGTCGTAGTTGTGGTTGTTGTTGTAGTTGTGGTTGTTGTTGTTAGGTGTTGTCCCAGGGCTGGGGTAGATGTGCATTTTTGAGATTTTCACCCCCCCGGGGTAGTTCCACTGACTGTAGTGTCTTTAGGCCATTCCCAAAGGGGAGACATTTCTCGTTCAAGCACAGTAGAATTGTAAACGGGCTGATTCATTTCACGCTAATAACTGTGCCTGATCTGCAACAGGGAACTGCTGCTTTTTCTTTCATAATCCTTACTATTGTCATTTTTCCTCTACTTCTTTTGTATGTTTGTCACTCTCTTGTGACCTGCTGTTTTTGGGGTGCCTTGATAGTCGAAGCAGACCTTGTGTTGTTGAAGCTAGAGAGGTGAGCAGAATAAGTCTGATTCCCTGTAAGGACTTCTCTGTTGAC